AAGGGATCTTATATCTGTTTTCACTCTTGTATGCTTTTCATACAAGTTTCACACAAGACAGATACAAACATTATAAGATCTTTTCCATATGGGCTTAAATGATGGAAATACTAAATATGTATTTATTATATATAGATAATCACATTAAAAGAATTACTGTAACCATTGCACACATCATAAATAATTCTTGCAATACTGAGGCCTCCATAATGATTTTTGTAGCCTTCATTAGTCAATAAATTTTAAGTTCTGAAAATATTTCGTATTTGTCTTTATTATTTATCTTGTTCTTAGGAAAAGAAAATGCTATATCAGATGCACAAACTGGCGCCTCACGCCAACCAGTAAGTGATGAAAATGCATCATTATTTACTTAAAATATGTCAGAATATATCTATATAGCTACATAGATAACATTTTTTTAATTACTACCCAGACCGTCGTTGATGAAGAACTAAACTACGCTGCGCTGAATTTCTCTGAAAGAAAAACGAGAGGAAGAAAGAAGAGAGAGTGTGCTGAAGACAGTGTCTACTCTCAAGTTAAATGCTGATGTCAATGATAATTTTAAGCATCTCCTCAAATTTAAATTGATCCTGATTTTTCCTTGTTAAACATGCTGTATATTGGACTCTTTGGTCTTTTCTTTGTTTTTGTGTCTTTTTTTAATCTTAATTAATATTTATAGTCAACAGACACCATCACTGGCAATGTCTCATAGCAACATACTTGTGTTGTATTACATCCTTGATTTTTCACTGTATTAACTGTTTGTTCTCCTTTTTGCAATAAAGAAAGAATCATATGGCCAAGAACATTATTTTCAGTGAGTACACAGAAAAAAAACCAAAAACCTACAGTACAGCTTAGAGACCTTAACATGTGAAAGAGCTCAGCAATAGATGGGTCAAATGGTGCAAGCAGATCTGATAGCTAGATAGATAGACCTTTGCATGTTCTCCCCATGTATACATGGGTACTATAGCTTCCTCCTGCAGTCCAAAAGACAAGCACTTAGTGGGATACATCAGAGATTATAAATTGCCTGTAAATGTGAGTGTAAATGGATTTTGCTAATAGTGTGTGTTATTTGCCATAAGTTAATTGAGAGGCATTCCTATCAGAGTAACCAGATTTTAATTATAGTGCTTTTTTAATTTTTTCCAAAACTGAGTACAACATCATCACATAAAAGTCCAGAGCCTCTGTGCAGAGCTTCTAACGCTACACAAAGTTTGCTATTGTACTGTTCAAAAAGTGCTGGGTTTATCTGTCTTTATCTGCCTAAACTGGAGGTCCAAAGAATATTTCCCTCATTGAGAGCTCAGAAAGAGCTGCTGGTGAAGTTTTTGAGTCCTGTTGTTTTTCCTGCTGATGATGTTTCTGAAAATATGTCAGAAACATCATCTGATTATTTATCATCAAATCTGAAACCGGCGTTTTGTTGAGGATGTTGAGGAAAAGTGCCAAGTTTTATCTGGAGCTAGCATGTACAAACTGATAATCTTTAATAGGGCTGTCAAAATTGACAGCAAACAAAACAACTGCTGTACAATGTTCTCCGCCATCTTAGTAGAATTTTTTTTTTCTTGCCTGTCCCATTTGGTTCTTTAGCCGTCAGAATTGTTGTCTGAAGACCAACAAGGATACCCAATGGATTTATTTTGCCAAATGGATCATCGTGGCATTGCCGTATTGGTCCATTTGATCGACCTTTGTTTTTATTATTTATTTTATTTTATTTTCAGTTGTTACAGACGGGACAGACATGACTGAGGGATAGGAAAGGGAGAAAGAAAGAGGAAGGAAAAGAAAAACAGAAGGGGAGAGGGACAGTGAGAAAGGGGGAAAAAAAATCTCCTGGATCACCTGTTGAGAGAGAAGAATAGAAAACAAGCAAAAAAACCCAAAGCAACATACTAAACACAACACCATCGCATTAATCTAGCTAAGTGTAAACAGCAGTAAATACTAAATATTCAATGTTGTTGTGCAGCACGCAGGACAGACAGCGCACAATGTGCTTTGAAGTAGCAGCCAAGAAAGGTGTAATTTAAGTCTACGAACAGTGAACACCCGTGTGCACACCTGTGTGGATCAGCGCGCTTGTATTCAAATGGTTTCCCATGTAATGATCTGCAAGAGGATGTAGAGAGCCATAGCCCCGTCCCCCAGGGCATGAAGCAGGCATGGAGGAGATCCAGGCCCCAGACATCCAGAGGCCCTCAGAGTGCGAGAGCCCAAGGAGGACCACCGGAGGGGCATCCGTGCCACCCTCATGGGAAGGGCTGAGGATCCCCAGACAAGGCGTCACCCAGTAGCCACCGAGCAGAAGCTATAGGGGGCTGCACCGGCTGCCGGCAGCCAGCTGTGCCAGAGTGAACCAAGCTGCAGGCCCAGAGGCTTAGTAGAATTGATCACATGACTGCATCATATGACTAAAATGTGCAATCGTTTTCAAAAGCCTCCGTTTTCGCTGTCCACACTGCGATACGAAAACAGCGTTTTCAAATGTATCCACTGTGGAGATCATTTTCAAAAAGCTCCGTTTTCCTTGAGCAAAAATGCCAAAACGTAAAGAAAAAGATGAATTTTCAAACAAAAAAACGTATTAGTGTGGATATGGCCTCAGTGGGTCAACGGAACATCTGGCACAGGACAGCGGTGATGTAAGAAGGGGAGGAATTGTCTCCAAATTTCTGGAACCAGGTAACCACACCCAGCCTGGCTCTGATGGTCTTCTTCCAACATTTTGGAAATCTGCCCCATCTCCCAGGGTCTGGGGGGAAATCTGCTGTTAAATAAAAGGACAAATTACATTCCTATAAAACATTCCATTTAAACTTTTCTATCTACATGCTATCAGGCAGGAGAGAGCTCTGTGAGTGTGCGATGGATGTCAAACTGTCAAACTGAATAAGCTTGTTTTCTATCATCCTCATTCAAATGGTAAAGTGTCAAAGGACAGCATTTAATTTTAAGTTGTGATAATTACAACACTGTAGGCCTGTGTAATGTGTAATGCTTGATATAATCTCTTTGTCTAAATTGAGAATAACAAAAAATAATAAGGGATTATTATTCAAACATATTAACTATGACAGCAACACAGGTGTGTAGAATTGCTAAAAAGCCTCGAACACAGTGTAGCACTAGCTAGATGCTAATGGCTATTCTAGCTAATGAATTAATCAGTAGAGGCTACAGAATGATGTGAGTGCTGCTTTTTAAAAGCAGTGATATGGCTGCATTTATATTAGTTTAATAGTCAGTTGCTGTAAAACCACCAGCGGACATTGTTAAAACTGTAGCAACTGTTAAAAGCTGTAAAAAGTGCAGAGGGGCGTGTTCCCAGTCACCTCCAGCGGGTGAGTGGGTGGAGTTCAAAGCAGCAACTCCATCCCAGAGTCATTACTGTGCAACTCAGGCTCCAAACATGCAAAACACAGTAGCCCTGATAAACCGAGCTTCATTTTGTACAGTGGGAGGAATCACGTTGGAGCCACATTGTCTATCTTTGATAGGATCATTGTGTTGAGTCCTACACTCGCAGCATTTTCTCCATGTTGTCTCAAAAAGCAACATTTTTAGCATATTTGCTAAGCACATCGACACATTTCCTAACCATAAGCCTAATCTGATGTCAGCTGGATGTATGCTAGTGTATTGTACCAAAATTGCACTGATTTATTTGACTTTACTAGTGACTATCTTAGACATATATAAAAAGGTACTGGTGGAGTGGGCACTAAAACACACTTGGGTAAACACGTTTTAAAAAAAAATTCTGCTCGTGTTAAGCTGAGCTCAGACACAGACTGTATTTAAAAGATGGAAAACATAGCGTAAGATCAGCAATTGTTTTGTGAAGTCTTGTTGTGAATTTATGAAGTGTCTTAGGGGTTACCATGTTGATGTAACTAGACATGATAAGTGAGTGGTGGAGTTGGCAGAAAAACCAAAGGATACTGGAAACCCATATGATTATAACATGTCAATTACAAAGTAACCAGACCCTAAAGCACAATTTCCTTTTTGTTATTTTAGACTGTAATAGGGAACAGAAGTGTATAGGAATTTCTTTTATTTATGTATTAATCACATTATTTTATTGTATGATGCCTTGGTGCCACTGGATTTTAACAAGTCTCACACTCATACAGTAAGACAAATGGTGGGGGTCTAGTAAGGAAGTTGGGGGAAGCAGACAACTCCACAGGAAGAGTCTTTTGTCTCTTCGAGGAGTCTGGGAGGTAGCAAGGGAGTGTGAACCTTAAGGTGTGAAACAGCTGTGTACTGCCTTTTGTTCCTGGAGAAGGTATTTAACTGAGAGCCATGCTGGGCTCAGGGAGACTCTGCTGACCGTCTGCCCCGCGGTCATGCAGGGACTTCATCAAGCTTGGGTTTTCTGTTCTTTGTGATTTGATTAAAGAATGTTAGCTACCGCTCACCGCTTGTCTGCAGGCTTTATTTAATGGAAAACTTCCACAACAGAAGCTACATCAGATTGCATTCAGTATGTCAAAGGGTTTATTTAAGAGGACCCAAACGCTGAAGACAGAAATCATATTTAACAAAAGACGAGCCGTTTATTAAGGTGAAACACAAAGACACAAAATAGGAGAGACCAAAACCAAAGGCTGACTCTAAACTGGGAAAAACTAAACTAACAGCAAAGCACAGGTAACATGGAAAAACTACGGACCGAGAACATGGGGGAGACGAACAGACGACCTGCGAACAAACCACGGAAAACAGAAGACTTAAATGCATAGAAGGACAGTGAAGGAAGTGGAAACACATGGGGAACAAAACTGATACAAATGGATGTGATGCCACAGGGGAACTGAACATACTGAACATGGACCACGACACTATTAAAATAAAACAGGAAACACAGAGACGTAGAGTGACACATGAGCTTGACACAGGAGGAAATGCAGATGGGAGAGGGAGCAAGGGATCACGAGCGAGAGAGGACAAGAGAGCACCAGAGAGAGAGAGATGATGGGCTGGGGAATTATGGAATAAACATGACCGGCAGGGGAGACATGGAAGGGGAGACAAGACATCTCGACAAGACACCAGGGAAACGGAAATATAACTAAACAATAGAGAGAACTGAGTACTGAAAAAATAGAAAAACAACCGAAACAACACCAAGAGCACAGTTTTGTTTTACAGTGGGTATTACAACACACATAAAAGCACCATAAACTCAAAAGGCTGGGTCAAATGGCCCAGAACATTGACACAATTAGGCTTGAAACAGGTTAATCTAGTCATCAACTCAACATAAAAATGTTGAGTCACCCCCAGATTGTCAAAGGAAATATTTTGGGTATAAGGTACTTGTTCATTAGCTTTAATTTTCTGGATTGGAAGCTACATTGATGTTTTATATACACTCTATGACCTAACTTCAAATCTTTATGCATAGTTGTGCCCCACCCCCACCAAAAAAAGAGCTATATCTCACACTCAGCAGACATCGGTCTCGATATTAATGTTTGTGATAGCTCAATTATTAAAACACTAATCAAGTATGGTTTGTTTGAAAGCACCTCATACCAAACTTTCAAGCATGATGGTGAAATGGATGAATTAGGCTGTTTTTGCAGTCACAGGCTTCGTCGCCTTTCCATCATTTAATCAACCATGAAATCCTCATAATATCAAAGTATTATAGTGTAAAGTTTGAAGCCATCTGTAAGACAGCTGAAGTGTGAACAAAAGTGAGACAGCCTACAGGACAATGATCTCGTGCACACCAGCAGTAAAGGTGCAATGCCCCAGGCACACAAACTTGACTGAAATGGGTGACATATATGTGTATGTATATATATGTCACCCATTTTATGTTATTGTAGTTGATAAAGATGTTGTTTGTATGATGCATAAACAGCACGACCAGTTAGCATAAAGACAATTGTGGAAATTTAAAGGTGTTTTTGTGAGAGTGTTTTGGTTTACCGTAACGCCTCTTTTGTTTACTTTCTGTGAGTTACAGAAACCCACTGTAAAAGAAAACTGTGCTCTTGGTGTTGTTTCGGTTGTTTAGGCCGGAAAGATGATTGATATAATTTCCATTGTGGTAGTAGAACGGAGCACCAACATAACAAACAGCCAATCAGATTGTTCTGAAATTGTTCCCTCCCACTTGATGTGATTATATTAAGGAGCATCATCTTAGTATGCCTAAATGTAAATGAGTCACAAGTAAATCCATCAGAAAATGCTGATCGTATTTTATATGCTGCTGGGCTTCAGAGCTGGTCGTAAGTTTTGAGTCGGCTTTTTTCCATATATATTTCTCCAATTTAACATGTGGAATATCTCTCTCTCTCTATATCTAACTGCTCTGCTTAATTTGACTTTCAGGATGCACTGATTATGTGTTTTTTGGAACGAAGACTATTGGTGTTGGAGAAAATGTGACCCTGACATGTGCGCGCCCGACATCTGAATATGAAGCAAACTTGTATTGGATCAGGATTGTTTCTGGAAGCTGGCCTGAATTCTTGGGAGGAACATTTACCTTTGATTATGACGGTGTTAACACCACTCCTCACATTACAGCAAAGCAAGAACCTGGAACCTTTATTCTGGAAATAAGTCAAACTAGGCTAAGTGACACTGGTCTTTATTACTGCATAAAAGTGGACCAACTGGACATGGACTTTATAAATGCAACATTTTTAAAAATTAAAGGTAAACAGAACTGATTATTTCTTACCCATGTTTACGAATCAATATCTAACTAAAATGAGTAAAACATGAATTTATTGATTTATGTATTTATATTAACAGTTACTTAATTATTTTCTAAGGGCCAGAGACGGCTATCACTGACATCATTCAGATGCCTCAATCTGGTCCCCTCCATCCGGGAAACCCAGTGACTCTGCAGTGTTCAGTCCTCTCTAACCCAGAGAACAGTGCATGTCCTGGAAATGACAGTGTGTTTTGGTTCAGCACGAGATCTGATAACTCTCACCCCAACTTGATTTATGCTGATGGAAACAGTGATAAATGTGAGAGGAGTCCAGAGGCTTCCTCCACACAGAAATGTGTCTACAGCTTCTCCAAGAATGTCAGCTCCTCTGATGCCGGGTCGTACTACTGCGCTGTGGCCACATGTGGACATATAATTTTTGGAAATGGAATAAAACTGGATGTTAAAGGTAAATTTGAAGAATTCTATATTAATTTAGAATAGGCTAGTTTAACATCAGCGTAAAAGTTTTTTTTTTCCCAGTTTATAATGTCACTAAAAGTAATAATTATTACTGGGTGCTTTTATTTTTCCAGGACTCAACATGTGGGACTTGCAAAAGGCCAATACAGTTCTATTTATATTATGTGCTGCTTTGGCTACAAGTCTGATCGTTATAGCCTTCCTGATTTATACCATCAAGAAGAAAACATCCAGTTGTTGGTGTGGTAATAAAAGTTATACTCACATTAGTATATCTATCAGCTTTGGTGCAAAATAACCATGCAGAAAGTATCTGTCATTGTAAATTTCTCTGTCTTTTAAACAGATGTTGGGACAGGGAGTGGTGATCAGCAGAGTCAGCAGGTAAGGTAAACTGAAAAAAAAGAAAATATAAAGACAATGGTACATTTTACTCTTGAATGTTTGTTTTTTGTTTTTTTTACTCAGACAGTAGTTGTTTACTCTGCACCAAACATCACTACGAGGAAAAGCAGCAAATTACCACAAAGGAGTGAAAAAGCAGCAGAGGGGGGGACAGTCTACACTGATGTCAGTGCTTCTGCAGTCGAGTAACTACTGTTATTAGGGTTTACTATATTTTTTATGACAAATGCAAGTGTGAAATGCATTTCAAGCTCCATCGTGGGTTTTATTTAAATTCTGAAACAAAAAATACAGTTATATTTATTGAAAAAATAAATAACATATTATAATAAAATTATATATTTGAATGTTATCACGTTTTAATGTCATTCTGTTATTTTCCACTTTGTTCTGTGATGATCTTTTAGAAAAGGTAGACAGTCATATATATTAGAGAGTCAACCACATGTACACAGTCAAAAATTAAAGTCTAGAATTGTCTAATTGTGGAAAATCGTGTGGTTACTTGACTCCTTAGATGAAGTGTTTCAAATGTATAGCCTGTGGGCCACATTATATCTGTCCTGCAAGATAATTTCATATGTTAGTTATTAATGGCCCATCAGTATGAGGGAGTCAAATCTTCAGCCCTGCTGAGAATCCATGCAGGTAGGGATGGGACTTTTATTGTCATGGGCACATCATGCGGCCAATCATGTGCAAAGACAGACTGGGATCATAACATTATGTGAGAGAAGGAAGGGGGCAGACAAGACAGCAAGTGTAGTGGTACAGCCCATGTACACAGAGATGAAGTACTATAGATTAAAATGCAAGCGTCTCAGGAAAAAGTGGAGATACAAGCAAAATGAGCAGCATCTGGCTGCATTTCAGTGACACTGGAGCCGCCAAAGCTGAGTTCATAATTTATAAATTTAGAAACTAGCTAAAGTGATACCCGTTCTAATTTTCAACTATTTTCCATTGTGGTGGACAAAAGGTTTCAAACCTCTCGGGGCCTCAAACCTCATGGAGGTTTTCTTTAGAAGTAAAAGCATAAAAATAAGGCTTTTATGAAAACAGTGAAAAAAGAAATTGCTTTCTTGAAAAAGACTAAATTTACAGTTCAGTATTGAATATTACATAACATAAACTATAAGAAAAGCGTCTTTGAATGGCAAATTCTTAATTTGCTTGATCTGATGCTCACCAAAAACAAGCACAAGTATCACTTTTGAACTTTTAACTGCATTTTTTTTACAAGTTTTATAGCTTTTCCTATTGAAAAGCCCCCTTAAGGCCATTCATACAACACAAA